CTGACACACACACACACACACATCACATCGTCAGACAAACAATCTGAAACGTATGGTGTCGGAAGGAGGTACGTACATGTGATACGTATACGCGTCATGATCGGCCGGATACACTCGTGCATAGTCTTCGTTCGGGGGGCATGTGTGTGTAGTGACGGCCAGCTTCTGTGCATGCAAAAAAAAAAAAGCCATCCTCAGCGTGCGTGTGCATGTGTGCGGAACCGAAACACACACACTGTGCTGTGCGAGGACAGGCAGCGTGTTGGTGACCTGAGCGTCGTAGTTCTCTGACAACCCGGTGAGGACCTCTTTCTGCTCGTCAGACATGGCATCGAGGCTTGTGCTGACACACACACACACACACATCACATCGTCAGACAAACAATCTGAAACGTATGGTGTCGGAAGGAGGTACGTACATGTGATACGTATACGCGTCATGATCGGCCGGATACACTCGTGCATAGTCTTCGTTCGGGGGGCATGTGTGTGTAGTGACGGCCAGCTTCTGTGCATGCCTCTCTCTCTCTCTCTCTCTGTCAGCGTGCGTGTGCATGTGTGCGGAACCGAAACACACACACTGTCAATCAACGTGAGGGTGTCAAATGGCCGACTTACTCTCTCTTCCTACCGCGTCAAAAACGTGGAGCACAAACCGATCATGTTGCATGGCTCCCGAACAACCCGAAAGCGGCTAAAGTCAGCCATATGGGTGGGTGTACACACGCTACATATATATATAACGTCACGCAAAACACACGCACACGCACTATATATACATGTGTATATGTGTATGTGTATACCGATATAGCAGTCGGTAAGCATGCACTCACGTATACAGATAGGCACATAGATAGGCCCCCGCAATCGCTCAACGGGCGACCGGCACTCAGTTTGCTGGCACACGTGCACATCCGCCGGTCAGCCATTCGGTTCTGAGCACACAACGCGTCGCATCCTCCCGCAGCCCACTGCAGCCCATGCACAGAGTGAGGGAGGACATGCACTCGGTCAATCCACTCAATCAGTCAGTCAGTCGGCCATCCATCCATCCATCCATAAATACACGCACCCCACACGCACCAACCGACACCGGCCACCGACCGACGACCTGACACATGTCTCGTGAGTGTGTCCTCTCTCTGATGTGCTGCACGTGTGAAGCATGGCGCGCGGTCCGGGGAGGCAAACGGGCCATCATCCACTCACATGCATCACGACACGAAAATCAGCAGCCAGACAGACAGACAGACAGTCAGGCAGGCAGGCAGGCAGCCCAGCAGCGGATGAAACAGGCAGGCGGACACACATCACATATCACACACTGACGTACATACATGATATGTGTCCACGGCGAGCACAAATGAGTGGCTACGGTGTGTGCATCTCTACGTGTGAACGTGTGTGTGTGTCTGTCTGTCTGCGTCAGTCAGGTTCAAATACTGAGAGAGGGACAGCTGGATTGTGGGTCGCACCAACACCCGGCCCACCTGCCCCTCACTCACACATCAATACTGACAGCCAGAGAGAGAGAGAGAACAAAGCATGCACGTAGAGCTCCGCTGCTGTCAGGCACACACGCAATGCACGAGACCACAGAGGGCCGTGCAGAATACATAGGGACAATCACATCGAGCATACGATATTAATTACTCACGGCGAATGAATACCCAGACAGAAATCGAGACAGACAGACAGACAGACACGCCTGACCTCCCCGCACCAGCAGCACAAAACACCCAGGATCAAAAAGCATTGAGTGGCCGTCCCCCCTCCCTGTGTAAGGATCATATGCAGCCGTGACCACACCGGTGCGTGGTCCACGCCACGTTCCTCTTGTAGATGGTCAGCCAGGCAGTCGATACACGCACCACACCGCACCACACCACACCATGGCACGGCACGGCAAAAATGCGGCTCATCCCATCCCTCCCCACTTGACACACACGTAAGCACATCCATGCACACGGGCAGCCAGACAGACAGGGAAGCACCGGTCAGTCCACAGACACTCACTGACCGCATTCAGCACATGTATGTGTGTATGTAAGTGTGCACGGGCGATAGTCACATTTCACAACACAAAATGCCAATCAATCCATCCGGCCCCTCCGATCGATCGACCCATCAGCCAGCCAGCCAGCCATTCAACCCAACACACACCGACACACCACACGAAGAAAAGCGCTTGAAAGAAGCGATAAGATAAACGGGCGGACAGCCGTCCAGCCAGCCTTTCGTCAGCACACACTGTCACTCTTATGATACGGCACACCACTCACTCACTCACTCACTGGACACTCAGGTGATGACTGGATGGACGAGCACTCAGGCAGGCAGTGAGGCAGCCAGTCAGTGACCCACCCACTCACTCAACGACTCAGGGGCCTCCGCTCCTCCATTGTCCTGGGGTATCTTTAGGATGCTCGTCTTTCACGTTGAAGCTCGTGGTGTCTTTCCCTTTCGTCTGGTCGTTTCAGCGTCCGCCTTCGTAGTTGTCGCTTGTCGATTGATGATGGTGCCTGTGTAAGGATGAGCAGCGTGTCGCCACGCACATCAAGTGTGCCTTTCTGTTTAGTTGTGTTTTACTGACCTCAGCCTGGACCTCGTAGATCTCTGACAACTCGGTGAGGACCTCTTTCTGCTCGTCAGACATGGCATCGAGATTCGGGCTGACAAACACAACCATGCAGACACGCAGATCCAATCCACAGTGCACAGCTCCTGCCTGCTTGTCTCCCTGCCTTCTGTTCTCACCCATCTGTCGTTCTTGGGCGCATCACCTGGCTCGTCGTCGAGGGCATCTTGGTGCACCTCAGCCACAGACTCACCAGGCAGATCACCGCCCTCACACACAACTGCACTCACACACGCGACACGGTCAGCGTGAAGTGAGCACCTGCGGTCTCCGTGTTGTCTGGGCCCTGCAGCTCACCTGTGTTGATGCTGAGCAGGCAGACCAGGGCCGCGAGGCCAAGCAGCAGCCAGTGGCGCACCATCTGCAATAGGAGAACAGTGTTCACCTTGGGCTTTGGCTTGGCTTTGCTTTGCTTTGCTTGTCTCCTCCCCCTCGTCACCTTTGGCTTTGGCTTTGCTTTGCTTTGCTATGCTTGTCTCCTCCCCCTCGTCACCTTTGGCTTTGGCTTTGGCTTTGCTTTGCTTTGCTTTGCTTTGCTTTGCATTGACCTTTCCCTCCCTCGTGGCCTTTCGCCTTGGGCCTTGCTTTGGTTTGCTTTGCTTTGCTTGGCTTTGCTTTGCTTTGCTTTCCGTGTCTCCTCTCCCTCGTCACCTTTAGCTTTGGCTTTGGCTTTGGCTTTGCTTTGCTTGGGGCCCGTGGGGCCAGGTGAATTTGCGAAGGTTTGTCTGGTAGCGTACGCGTGCGAAGCACAGCGATCGCGTACATACGCGCCGCGTGCGGGAGCGACCCGATCGACATACGCCGTCTCCGGCTCGCACCTGCGCTTGGCGAGGCAAGCGCATCCACGTGTTTTTCTCGCACCCACGTGTTGTTGTTTTTGTCGCACGGGCACCCACACACACCCGCACCCGTCCTCGGAGACCAGGGAGGCGCCCCGTGACGCGGGGGGCGTCTCAGCGAAACGAGGGACGATGCCAATCGTCAACTACCCTCTGAGCGCCGGAGTGCCCTGCCCGCCCCTCCAGCTCCCTCGTCACGAGGTTCAGAAAGCCGTCGAGGGCGTCTCCGACCCCCTGCTGCTGGATCCGCCGTCTTCGACGCCCTTGCTGCTGATCCGCCGTCTCCGACGCCCCCCTTGCCGGAGCCGTCGAGTTCAACGCCCCGGCTGCTGGATCCATCGACTTCAACGCCCC